TAGACTTGACTAGTTAACTGTTGTTGTTTTGCTGCTGCAGTTTTTATGGTGTCAATTTCATGGTGTAACTAGGCGAATCGGTGGAAGGGCAATGCACCATCTGAAAACCATATATTATATAATCGTATACTCCGAAAGGTGTAGGTGCGCCATGACATACATATGTAAAAAAAAAATTAAAGAAGTTCAAAGGATAAATGATAGAATGGGACTTTTCACAAGAAGCCTTTCAAAAAAATAAAAATAAAAAACTGTTGCTAGTTATTTTTTAACATTTTTTTTTAATTTGAAGCAATTTGACTCTTCATGGGATTTTCTTTCCAGAAATTTCAACCAACATAAATATATCATCAACAAGTTGGCGCTTGTACGTGCGCGACTTCGGGCAACAAATTTAATGCTCATTTTCCCAAGGCAAGCAACCCATACAGATAATGAGAGCCGACAAAACTCAATGTTGGTTTGAGTTATTTTAAGCTGGAAACATGGCAAACAATTAAAATAGTTTACAATATCATCAAGTTAATGGATTTTACCACATACTTATATACAAAAATCAATTGAGTTGTAATTTTCATTTAAGGAAATAATCGACTTTACGCATTATGCTTACAGTACTGCATACATTTGATCAGTTGAACACAAAAAATATTTGAAAAATTTGAACTCAATCGCACTACGAGGAGGATTTTAAAGATAATTCGACATTAGCGCTATTTGTTGGTGGTTCAACGGGGTATAGTGCTTCGTGCTTCTGGGTACGCAATTAAAGTTGCAAGGCCGTACGCGATTCCTGTCATTGCGTCTTTGCTGTACACACTGTAAAAGTGAGCAATCACTTTGGAAAAAGCTGTGAGAAAAAGCTGTGAGCAGAAAAAGCTTGCGCCACTCATACAAATTCAGTTTAAGGATACACTAAGGTTTCATAGCAACGTTTGCTCATCAGAGATCCCTCTGTTCGTGGGTCGGTCTAAAAGCAAGCTTTTCCGCCCAGCGAGGGTAACATCACTCGCGTCTAAAAGAAGCGAAGAATGGGACACGGCGGAAATGAGAAGGTCTATGTGACATATACTACAGCGACCATAATAATAAGCACAAAATTTAACTTAGATTTGCAGTGTGCTCAGCCTACAAGCTGATTTGCGCTCACGCTTAGACGGAAGAAAAAGACGATGTGTCAAAAGATACTGTCTATGAGCCGAAAAGATTATCTTCAACGTTTCGTGCTTTTCTCGCACATACGAGTACAGTCATTTGCGCATTGGCAACGGCTACTACCGCAGCACATGGAACTATGTGCTGTATGAGAAATAGATGTTCTTAAGTGAATTGAAAGACGTGTACTCTAAACTCACTGGCTTCTCATGTAAGCAAAATATCTTAAAACCATGAAATCAGTTCATCTTCGTTGTGTATTCGGTACTAAGGAAACAAACTTCGATATTCTGATGAGAAAAATGGCTGATTGGCGAGTTTTATGTGGTATAGGTGTAGCGAGATAAAGATTTGAACCAAACACCACCATTATTGTTCTCAACCCCAGACAGGAGAAGGTGTTATTTATTTCCTTCAAACGTACTTCCATTTCGCAGAATCAGATTTCACCGATACAAAGAGCTCAGAAGATGTTAAACTTTATCGACGCGAAGTCCTTTAGAGCAATAAGAACATTCCTTGGGGGTTAGACAATAAGATGAAGATGGATAATTGTGCCGGAAAGCTTCGTGTACGTCGCCAACCTCGGCGGACGCCTGAATCTAAAAGAGTAATTCACAGAAGAAATTGCAAGCGCGTTTCTGTTCATTTTCGCATGCCACTGTGCGCATTAGTACGAAGTACATTGCAATTGACTGCATTAAAATGAAGTGAGCCAATTTTATTTGCAGCGGCAAAGGGGATGTGACAAGCAAATGTGCAACGGAGATGTCGATTTAATCTATTTTACGCAATTTAGTGGCTCATAAAGCCTCATTAACAAATGGACAGCACAATGCGAGGACAAGCACAAGCACACACACAGACAAAGCAGCAGCAACAATCAACAGAACAACGAAAGCAATAAATAGCAACATCCCCCACCCTCTGCTCCTCAAGCCACCAAGGCTCCCCTCGAAGACGTCACACCAACAATCTCTCTGTTGGCCATTCGATGGGTCGATTGGTCAGTTGGCCGAATAGTCTGAGTTATAATCACACCACAACAACATGCATTTTCATGTTAATATGTGTACGAATTAAGGATAATAATTGCCAGAACAAGCAAAGGCAGACAGTGGAAACCAAAATTACAATCTGGAAGGATATATATATATATATATATATGGGATTTGTATGTGCGTGTGTTTGTGCAAACATATATGCCTACATATGTTGCATAACTTTCAGCGCCAAGCTTAAGTATCTGCCCTACGCACAGCCATAATGTGGGCACGCACATATAACCGCATGTGTTTGTATGTGTGTCTTTGTGCATGTCTGAGGATATGCATAATAAGACGCCTCAGGCTTCTTAGCCAGCGTTTATGCCCACACTGAACACCCCACCCCCACACCACTCTATCTTGCTCTATCCTTCCACTGTGAATGTCTGTCCCATTCCTTGATCCACATCACCGCCGGCGTTTTGGGTTAAGAGCAAAGCCCGCATTAGCAGCCGCAAAATGCTGGACAAAGCAAATCTGCATGCGGTTGCATAATCATTGCAGCAGATAAATCAGCTCACTCAAAGGTGGACTGGCTGAACTCAGTCTGCATGCCCCTCCTCTACCGCCATTGTCACCGCTATTATCACTAAATGCATGTTGTTGCTGTTGGCTTCACTGTTTCTAGTATTTTATGGTGTGTGTGTGCATTGAAAAGTCGAGTCAATCAATATTAAATTCAACATTATACCATATGTACGCACTTAGTGTGTGTATGTGTGTGGGTGTGCGGGTGTGTGGGTGGGGGCAGCGTGTGAACGGTGGAAAGATAAGCAAATTACATAATAATAATTTAACAGCAATTCCGTTACGCCGACACCCTATCATCAAAGCATAGCGCAGCAGACATACATATATAAATACATATTTTCCCACATAAATGATGGTGCGCATTAAAGGTAAATTTGTATAAAATAACTGAACTCAAGTCGTAATTGAATTTTATTAAATTAATAAAACTTTATTTCTATTGCTAAATCGACTTGTGTGGAATGTACTAAATGGGAAGCCTAACTCAGTGTGGGACTTAAGCCTACCAAAAGCACACCGTTATCTAACCGATAGAGCTGCGCATTAGTAACGAATCAAGAGGCCGTCGGGAGCCTCAAGCACTTGCATTAGTAAACTAATCGGTGCTCTCGGGGATGTTGGGATTAACAAAGTTCGGGCAGAATGCGCATCGATAGGTTGAGACATTTCTTTAAACAATTTAATATATAAATCAAAGGTTAAATGTCTACTTAAGCTGACACACCCTATTATTCTGACATCGAATACCCTCACTTAATCCAATTTCTTCCTCTTCTGAAAACTAAAGAAATCAAATCGCTCACCATCTGTACCTTCCAACGGTGTTCTCTTCCAGTTCTTCCACCGGTGTGTCCGGCATCGACAACGATCAAGGCTAAGTGCTTTCATCCATTCGGGTGACATAACCTGGCTCGTTGTAATCGCCTGCAGTATTCATTGTTGCCAATGTGCAAATGCCAATAAATTGTTCGTATTGTTTTTTTGTCGAAGTCTTCCAAGGTCCTGATCGGATATTGACATCGTCCAAAATTTAGCTTTCGTTTGTCGAGATAGGATTTTGATTTTAAATTGAATACTAAAAACGTGGGAGCCGAGTCGTGAATGCTGTGACTATTTGTTTTATGACAGGAAAAATTATGCCTTGCCTTCGTTCACTACCTGGCCCATATGATTCGCTTCTTTATCAAGTCTTGATCCCTCTCAATTCTGAGTTTACAAAGCCGTATGAGTGGAGCAGAAATATCACTTTCAAATAACACAGTAGTCAAAGGCAGCTTTAAAATCGATGAAAAGGTGATGTGTATCGATTGAAGATTTGGTGAGGCGAGCCAAAACACACGTTGCAGAGCCCAAACAGACGCTCTCACGCTTCCTATCAAAAATATAATTACCTTTCAACCAAAGCTCTCTAGTCACCCTGTTTCTTTACTATGGGCGCTTAAGAAAGCATGTGCCTGCCAACTTTATATCTTATTTCATTTCAACACTGACTATTGAGACAGATGGCACTTTATATCACTATCTTCTTATAGTTTTTCGGATCTACGAGTAAGGTTGTTTTGAGTTGTTTGGAGGGCAAGAGAGAGAGACTACTATCTTTTAAATACAACTCTGTTTCTCTCAGTGCCATCCCAAACAGAAAAAGTTAACTGAAATGCATTGGCCGGTCTTACGCAAGGGTCAATGTTTTCTATCTTGTCAAATGAAACTACTTTTAGGTTTTCGATTTTGCGGATACTAAAATAAGCTCAGAAGTCCTCCAGCGTTACCTACCTCCCTCTCAACCAACTGAGGGGGACGCCTGAAGGAAAATCGAAATATCAACAGACCGGTGACTAAAGCCACTGACCATCCGGATGGAGACTGATTATTGAAGGTCGCGGTAACACCTGCTATAGATATGCCCATCATGTTGTAAATTACGCAGATGATTCGGGCAAAGAAACATCATTAGGGGAAGTTATATAATATTGAATACGAGACGCTGGCTTGAGTTACAAAGTAAATTGCATTATTTACTATTTCCATAATTTCTACTCAAATTGTCGCTTGCCATTCAGGTTATTTGTGAAACTGAAAAATTCAGAAAAGAAAACAAAACCTTTAACACTCTTATCGCCCACAGTTATCTCGCTTGTTTCTAAATTTGCCTAATTACAAATTGATGTTCACACTCGTCAATTGTGTCAACACTTCGACGCAGCGCTTATCAGCCAAGGCGAGATCCAATGTCTCGCGGCGTTGAGTGTCAAGTTCGTACAAATTGAATAAGATAACTTCCGCCGCAGTCACAAGTTCACACGATATCCGCGAGTGTACCACAGAGTGGCAAGAGCCCTACAGAAACTCGCGGTGTCTCGTAACGACGTTGGAAATCAATAAAAACGACATTTGAGTAAAAGCTCAGCAATGCTTAAGCTACAGCATCTATTTTGCATAGCAATCGCTATAAACGCGCACTCATGGACTCAAGCGGCTAGCACCTTCCTGGGCGCGTCCTCCAGTCGCATTGTGGGCGGCACTTCGGCGCGTGACATCAACATACCGTACATCGTCTCGTTGCGCACTTTCAACTTCCACATTTGTGGTGGCTCCATAATTAACGAACTTACTGTGCTCACCGCCGCGCATTGTTTGGTGGCCACCGATGCTCGCGACTTGCAGGTGCACGCTGGCACGAAGTCGCGTTCCTCGCATGAAGGTGTCTTGGTAAGCGTTGCAGCTATACACTACGACCGCCGCTTCGTTATGGACACCATGGATTATGATATTGGTTTGGTGCGTTTAGCTACGCCACTCAAATTCACCAGAAAGATACAACCCATCGCTTTGCCGGCAGTCGGCGAATCGGTATTGGATACTGACGTGGCTTTGGTGGCCGGTTGGGGCTACAAGACACCTTATGGACCTGGTTCTTACGTTTTACAATACGCGCGTGTGCCAATTATTAACCAAGCCGAGTGCAATAAGCAGTTGGAAGGTTCAGTTACTGATCGCATGATCTGTGCTGGTTATGCTGAGGGCGGCATAGACGCATGCCAAATGGACTCTGGCGGTCCGCTGGTGGTTGATGAGAAACTAGTCGGCATTGTATCGTGGGGTGTGGGCTGTGCGCGCCCTAATAGACCGGGAGTCTACACGCGCGTTGCCGAGTTGATACCGTGGGTGCAAACCACACTGGCTGAGCAGTATCAAGATACCATTCCAAGCGATAGGAAAAAATAAGATAAGAGAATCGGCTGTGTTATTGGCAATGAAAAAATTTAAGAATGTAAAAAAAATTGTGAAAATTAAAGTGAATTTCATTTAAATGTGCAACTGAGAGGAGAAGTGTTTATTTTAAAGCTTTTGGAGCGGGAAAATGTGGAATGAAAGAAGAGCTCAACGAAATATGCGTACCTATCTCAAAGCAGAAGTTGTATTTTTTATTTTCTCTTAATTCATCCCACTTTAGCTCTTTTCGATGCAACTCATTTTCATTCTGTTGCAAGCCACCTTATCTTGCTATCTGTCATTTACTCGGAGACGATCGATCAGCTCATCTCAGCTTAACTCTTGAGTCGTTATCTGAACTCATCCCCTTTTAACTTTACTTCATCTCGTCCAATCCTGTCATACGCGAACTTACTTCCTCCCATTTTGTCTTATTTAACAATCATGACTCGGCATATTCCGTACGTAATGCGGATGTCGGTTGGGCAGATAGAGGGTATTCGTTGGGCTTATTATTATTTCTTCTCCTCACGCCATTAGGGTCGAATGAACAAATTCAAGTGCTCACCCGAATGTGTACGTATAGAGCTTTACTACTAGTCAATTTCGCACCTTCCAAGTGTTGTTGTAGATGCGGGGCCGTACTACCAGAGAGATATCGTCATGTGGGCGAAGTTTTGTGACAGTGTCGAGGGACCGTAATTATAAATTCGTTCTTAGCTTCGGATCACTACTTTGTTATCTTTCGTCCAGGCTTCGGTGTCAAAATAACAACACAAATCGAATTATGATTAGATTTAAACCATAGGAATGAGAGTCAATAATTACAGCATGGATAGATTTCGCAAATTTTTTACTCTAGTCGATAATGCGAAAGCTCAGAGGCGACGTACAGTGCGTACCGAATACGCTGCTCTAGAGCAGAGTATTCAAGAGGACCCGAATCAGTCCACGCATTATTGCGCTCAACAATTGAAGCTTCGCCCACCCACTTTATGGAAAAATTTGCAAAAAGATCTTGGCTCGCGGTCCCCCAGAATCCATTGACCCGATGCCGACCGAACATGATGCGTGTCGCATGTTCCATGAGTAGGCCCAAAATGAGGCGGCCCAAATTAGGTTCTTACAAGAAACATATGTTACATTCTCCTCATCTTAAGAGTCACTATTTGGTGTGCTCTATGGCCAGAAGGAATCATAGGTCTATATTTCTTAAGAACGATGCTATTACTTATTTGATTTTTGAACTTTTTGGTGAGTGCATTATTTTGCTTTGAGGGTCCGTGAAGTTCTTTCCAAGATCATGCAATTTTGTACCACTGAACTATTTTTTTGTAGTTATATGAAAACGCTTGGCTACGTAGGTAAACTCGAGACGATTAAAGCCTTGAAGGAGAATATTCGGCGCATTATCGCTTAACGGTGCAAATTGCTGCTGATATTGGCCGAAAGTTGGACTTCTCGGCTGGAACTTATTCCAACCAGCCGTGGCGGTCATTTACCCGAAATAATTTTTAAACCATAATGGCGAAGCTTTATCCTATAGTTAAGCTAAATTCTTGTTCATAACTTTTAATTATTACTTTTCAATTCTTCTTTAAAACCACACATCTAAAAAAAACACCTTTTATATCGGAACGAGCTCATATTTTCTTAATTTTGTATTAGGATTTTACAATATATATTTCTTTCACGAGCGCTACTCTCAAACGATTCGAACGGCATCCAGCGGAATCGGGCACGAACTTATGCACTCATAATATATACATTTGTTTTTGTAATTTTTTTTAGAAAAATTATAAATATTTATCCATAATTATCTGAATTTTTGAAAAAATGCTTTTCACAGTAAATTCTTATTGTTGAATTGAAAACACAGCTAAAAACTCCAAAGAGCGATATCGCAAACACTTAAATATGCATTTCTAGTGCAGTTAACTTGTGCTGCTTTTTGTTGTAAATGTTGGGAGAATAAATAAAAAATTAATATTTTTTAAATGGTATAAATATCAGCAATATTTTTGCTTTTCCTTAACTCATTAACATTAACTTATATAATTAAAAAATTTGGCATTTGAAAAAATTTAAAATAAATTCATAGTTTAAGAGCAAAAAAAAAAATTTTTCAACACTATTTATTTTATTTAATGTACATTTAATTATTTGATGCGTATAATTAAATGCGGACCAAAACGTGCTAATTAAAAAAAAATGTACTTAAAAAAATTAAAATTAAATATTTGCAAATAGAAGATTTTAACAAAAAAATGCCAATTAAAAAGAACAAAAAAACGATAAACTTTAATGGCAAACACAAGATTATTTACAGTTTAATGCATTCATATAAGAAACAAATGCACACAATACACCCTTCAGCAAAAACCACAAATTAATTCAACAACAACAACAACCAAATATACACACACAACAGCAAAAAAAGGTCCTCGCGGCCGGATAATGATGCCGTTACGGCGGAAAAAGTGCAATCGAAAACGCTTGAACCGTAAACTGTGAAATACTGATATTCATAAAATATTAATTGACCCAGTGCAGCCACTCAAAATGCATGCAACCACACGCACATACTTACCGACATGCAACATACATACTCGTACAGGCATATATATATATATATATATATGTATATGTGCGTTTGTATATGTTGTATTTGTATGCAAATTAGTAATCAATACGCGCGCATATTTGCTGCATAATTATCCACATTCAAGTGCAATTGTTGAACATACACACAGACGAGTACATACATCCAAACAGCCAGTGTCTCGCTGCCATCGCACGCTTGGTAGCGTTGGGATTCGGATTAATGATGATTAAAGTGCGCACATCGGTTGGACGGAACAATTGGCGAAACTAACAGCAGTTGATTAGGCAAGTAATTGCCAATGTTTAAACCGATACGCGCATCACACATGCATACGCATGTATCTATTGGAGTATATAGGGTTATGCGCTTCGTGGTTTCAAAATACATTGACATCTATCAAACTTAACTGCCAAACCAAACTGTATTGGGTTTTAGTTAAAGGTCAGGCTTTTACTGTATGGATCGCTTAACACCCGCGCAACACGACACATTGCTGAAACCTATGCGAATCAATCTTTAACTCTTGAGCACTTGAAAACCAACATTCGTTCCGTTGTGGCTGAGATTCATTCCTCTTTAAAACCCCGAAATGGTTGTGTGGAAAGAATAATCGAATGGACAGCGATATAAGTCATAATTAATTTCTATTCCATGCTTCGTAACATTTCTGGAACGCTTCCACTGGGATGTCCGCCAGTACCCTCGTCACGGCCGCGTGTATGTCCTCAATCGACCCAAAATGGACTCCTTTGGCTACTGATTTCGTTCTAGGAAACAAAAAAGTCACAAGGTGACTTAAGGCGTTTGTTGCAACACGGCAATCTCTGAAGATGCCAACTACTGAGACACGCTGATGGCGGTGTGGCACGGCGCGTTGTCGGAATGAAGAGCCCAGTTAAGAGCGCTGTCTGGGCGCACCCTGGTTACTCGTTTTCGCAATCTTTCGAGTACTGGGCGATAGTACATTTGATTGACGGTTTGTCAGGGTGCACACGCAGCGCATTCGTGTCAGCCCGCACCTCGACTGGTCTCCCGCGCCACGCCTCGTCTTCCACGCTTTCAATGCTGAAGAAAACTCTAAAGAGTTCCATATGCCTCCGAATGTGACAAACTCTAATTTTAATTTTTAAAATGGTGTAACCTGATTGTGTCGACATCAATTACAGATTTCCGGTTTAAGGGCTTAAACTTTTGTCAATTTAGGTGAATGAAATGTAATAAAAATTCTATAAATGACTTCTTTTCTTAGAGCCATAATCTGAGTCCTAAGTTAGAGTACACTTTGGCAAAAGTGACACTAAAAATATAAAGACACTCTAACTCTTGTATATCACAGACAGTTTAGGCCATGATCGAGCAAACGCCTTCTTTTAGTAGTAATTTGCTACCACTATTCGGCCAATAGAATATTTCTTCAGAATTGCTTTTTTTGATGCTTAACACAATTTCTTTGATACTTCGAAATGGTGAAATTTGTTTTGTTTTTCAGAGGAAGATGTGAAGATTTACTCACCCTCGTATTGGAAAATAGAACAGTCAGCTAGAAACGTTGCGGAAAGGCCGCATCGAGGTGCTCTTAACATTAAATTCTTATATAGAGGTGGGAGGACCCACTTTTAGTCGCGTACGAAGGAGAAGGCGTACAATCAATACAAAAAGGAACTCCGGCACTAACCGCAGCGATAAACTGGAAAACTGTTATAACAGCAGCGTAAGTTTCTTACCAAGGAAAATATGCGAAAACTGTTTTTATTTGTATTTTCTATCACTTTTATTTTGATTTTTTGATATTCTTAAGTTATTACTTAAATATCCAGATACATAAAGTTGCACACATAAGTACATATAACGTTTTTTGCTCTTCATTCAAGGCTTTATAAAAAGTGTTACAGTGATCGGATTTAATTAAAATATGCGCCGTTTTGTTTTTTTGTTCGATGATCTGTTTCCATTTAGACGGCAACTTCATAATACCGGTGGTAATCACTTGGCGCTGACGAGTCATCAACGAAATGTGTGGTCTGGCGTTGTCCTGGTGGAACACTACACCCTTCCTGTTGGCCCATTCTGGACGCTTCTGGTCGATCGCCTGCTTCAAGCGGTCCAGTTGTCCGCAGTAAATGGTAAAATTAAGCGTTTTTTTAGTATCCAGCCTTCTGCAGATGGCTTAAAATGGTTTGTTGACTAACTCCCATCTCCTGGGCGATGACACGAGATGCCATATGCCGGTCTAACTCGATGTATTCCATGATTTGATCGGTATTTGTCGTCACAGGTCTTCCGCCGGCTGGCTTATCCATGGTGTCGTTTTCACCGGCCTCGGAATCGTCGAAACCATTCCTCCGCGGTTCGAAGTGATAGAGTACCATCCCCCAAAACAATAGCGCAAATTTCGGCGTTAGTGAACTCCATGTTTACACGTCTATAACTGTTGAACGCTATAT